ACCACTGACAGAAAGAAAACAAAATAACAAAAATCTACCTGTTAGAACCTGCCAAGACTTGCTGTTAAGGTTAGGCACAAGCTTATTAGCTAGGCCTGAAATTTGTCAAACTGTTCATAGTTCAATAATTCCCCCTGACTGCTACATTCAGCTGTTGCAGAGGGTTCTAAACTGCTCTCAATCAGCTTAACATAGGTTTTATGCAGCTCCCAATCTGGCCCACATAAAGAGTTTTTACCTTTTGCCAAGGTTATTGAGCGGTGCTTGGCAAGCCAAGAGGCACAGCTATGGAGATGCTGAAGTATCGATTTGCACCATCTATGACACTGAATTTGGGTTTTTAAGTCTATGTTGGCCTGGGCTTAGTTTTCTGCTTCCTGCTGTGTTAAGAGTGAGTCTGCATGCCCAGCATACCCACTGTGCACAGGCATCCCCCCGAAAACCTGGAACAACCCACAGGCCTGACCCCCTTCACTCCAAGTCCCAGTTCCTTGCCTTGTTCTCCCCATGCATTGCCAAAACAAGGGGTTGCCTGGAAACTCCCAAGGCTGCCCATCAGCAGGGTCAGGGAGACAAAGATTTCTTTGGCCATGTTGTGGAGAGAGACATCACGGCAAGCCCATCTGCAGAACCATTTCAGCCCCACCTAGGCTTGGTTTTTCCCTTGACATCCAAATATCTCAATGGTGAGTCTTGGCACCCTTTAACATGTGCCCAGTTGGGTTTTCTGGATGCTCTTCCCCCTCTGGGAGGTCCCTAAGACCTGTGGCATTCTAAGGGGAGGTACAGTCTGTGCAGGAGACTTCAATGAGCCAAGGGCAGCCCATGGGGATGGAGGCATTTGGCTCTCTAGCTCCTGGAAGCTGGGAGCAGTTGGTGGCAGATCTTGTGCAACATCTGTAAAGCTGACATGGGGAGATATAGTGTTTTCACCCAACATGTGGAACATTTCCCTGATAACCTGCGTGGCTGAAGGGCATGAGTTGTCCTCCCCTGTGTGGAGCTTCAGTGGCTTCAAGAAGGCCTAGGAAAGATTTGCTTCTTTAATTTGGTCTTTCCGAGGGTGTGTGTAGCTCACTTGGAAGCCCTTCCCAAATGCAAGGCCTCTGTTTCTCACTTTTGTCATCCCACACAGTATACAAACACAACCTCAGCTGTGTGGGCATTTCAGCTTGGGTGACTTTCCCAGGACTACCCAAGAGCTGAATCCCAGCGCTTCCGAGGTAGGACTTAGCAGCTGAGGGGTGAGGGCATGTGTTTGGCAGCAGCAGGGTGGCTGCTGCTGTTGGGCTGCATTGCCACCTGCTGGGGGCACACAGCCCCTGGCTGAGGCCAGCTCCACCCTGCACAAAGGGGTCCCCAAGCCAGCAACGCTGCCAAGGTGAGCCAAGTTGGGCTCCAGCATGTTTCCTCAGGTGCTTATTTTGGGCAGACCTGCCGTCTCCTGTGCTGTTGGGTTTTGTTTTCAGGCACTAATAACACTGCAGGTTGTAACTCTCTGAGTTTAGATTTCCTGGTGTGGGTACTGGCCTTCAGTTTTCTTCCCAAGGTGAAGCTAAAGGGATGCAGGGGATACTTTGGCCAAAGGACTCAGCCATTCTGGGCAGGGAGATGTGAGGAACCTGTGTTGCTCTTCCCAATGTAAAAAAATATATATGTAAATAAATAAAATCTCTTGCTACAAATCAACTGTATCTGCTGGGAACTTGTTGGTCTGAAGCAGGACTTGTGGTCATGTTGGGATCAGCCATGTTGGATGTGGCTATTGGAAAACCTCACTCAGATTTGGCCAAGGTATTACACTAAACAAAATAAAACAGGGGAAGGAGGAAAAGATAAGAGTGATGCAGAGGGATGGAAGTCAGATGAAATGCTGGAGAGAAGTGAGGTCTTGGCTGGATAACTCGTGTAAGTCAACAGCTTTGTGCCCTGCATGGCTGCTTCTCCCAGAGCTGCTTTTGTGGTTCATGCCACCTTAGTTCTACACCTGGCCCACCTCCATGCCTGTCAGATGGGAACAGTGTCTGTGCTGGGGCAGGAGGCTGAGCTGGGCATTTGTGGAGCCTGAGTTCTCTCTTGCTGTGCCTTTTCCCTATCAGCTCTAGGAAGGTGTCTGCCACAGCACAGCCAGCAGCCTCCTCCCAAGCAGTTTCAAAGGGAAACCAGTATGCATCAAACAACTCTGATGGTAGTTCATAAATGGATTTATCAGATGAGTGTGTGTCTGACTGCTAAGGCTGTAGGGGCTGAGGAGTGCTCATGGCAGGTTTTGTTTGGCAACATGGTGTTAGCCATGGATTTAGCATCCGTGCCGAGCACAGTTCGTGGGCATTTGAAGAGTTAACATGCAGGAATCAAATGGAGTAATTTGGGACATATCTGTCCTCACTGTCCTTATGTCACCTCTTTGATAGCTGAGACTGCTGTCAGCTCTTCAAAGCTGAAACCACAGCAGGCTCTTGGGAGACATGCACACTTACAGATGGTGTTTGGTTAACAGTATTTGGGATGTTTTTCATCTTGCTGATCACACCAGTATCCACAGGAGGTGAACACAAACTGAGACAGATGGTAAAGTATTCTAAATGTGGTTTTTTACTTATTTCTTGGGAGTATAAGGTACCTGATTTTTATTTTTTTTCCCAAACAGGACACCACCACAGACAAACATAACCACCAAGTGTTAAATGTCTACAGCTCTGATAAAGTCCCTTGCAGGTAGCTTGTCGAAGAAGGAGCAGTTGTGTTTTCAGGCTTTGTCTTGCTCCCTCTCTCCCTCCCTTTGGCATAAAGATGTGTGGAAGTGGGCAGCACCACACCCCTGTATCAGAAAACAAGGGTAACCAGAGAAACTGTGCACTATGCTGCTTTCTCATCCTCACTGCTGGACCTCCTCCCTCAAGACCTTTAGCACGCACCTTAACAAAAGTAGAAACTGTAGGAAGCCAGGCTGTGGAGGACCTCAAGCAACCTAATATATGCTTGTCCTGGAGGGCAGGATCACCTCTACCCATACCACTCCAGACAGTTTGTCTTAAAGCCTCTGGTGTCAGACAGTCACTGCCTCCCTGAGGCAGCCTGTTCCTCCCTCCACTGAGCAGGGTGCTCTTCTAGGAGGATCCACATCCTCCTTTTGGTGGCCAGTGCTGCACACAGGTGTATTTTGGTGCAATTAAGTAACCTGCAGGATAGTGGTCTCCGATGGAAGCTATAGAGGGAGGATGCAGTCTGGGATGGAGACAAATCTGCAAAAGGATGCCCTGGGGGGAAAGCACAGGACTGACTTTGATGGGTTGGAGCTGGGGAAAAATGTGAAATACTCTTAACTCAGGGTGGATGGGAGACCACTGAGCCTCCAGGAGCTGCCAGAGTGGCTGTTGTGTCGTATGTTGAGACATGAATCCTGGTCACAAAGCAGGGGGGAAAAAATAACCCACAGCTTGGTCTTTTCAGCATTATTTATTAAACAGTGCTCCACTCAGCAGTTGTACACATGCCCCAGACACCCCCCTGATCGTGTACAAACCCTGGATGTTATGCAGTCAGACACCATGACACAGGCTGCACAAACCATCTCCTTTACAGAAGCAATGCCCAGGAGAAACCCAGGCTCAGAGCAGTGTCCCTACACTGCCATCACACCAGCCAAGCTGGGAGGTAACTTGCAGCAGGCCTCATGTACTGTTTGATTAGCCAACTCCTGCTTCCAACTTCCCAGTACCTCCCTGTGTTGCCTAGGCCCTGAGAACAATAGGGGATGGCTGCTGCTGAGTCTGCACAAGCCTAAGGCTTCTGACAGGGACACCTCAGCCAAAAGCAGATGAGCTTTTTTGTACTTCAGGCAACCTGTGATGGCAGCAGGAGGGTGGGCTCTGAGGAAACGAGCACTCTCCTCCCAGGAATGGTTTCTATTCTTTGCTTATCCAGGAGGTTCTTGAGGGTCTGCCTATGGGTTAGGTGCCCTGTGCTCAGGCACATGTGAGCCAGCTGTGTCAGTGTGCCAGGCTTGGTCCTGGCTTCACCATGGCTGGTGCAGGAGTGTGGCTGAGCTGCCCTGCAGCAGCTCATCTGCTCTTAGGTGGCCTGAGGCACTCAGCAATGGGGCCCTTGGAAGGATCAAACCCCATGGCCTTGCTGGCGCAGGCTGAGGAGCTGCCCTTAAACAGCACAAAGCAGTGCAGCTGCAGCTGTAACTCTCCCTGTGCTCAGTGTTTAGCTCCTGCTCAGTGCTAGGAAAGTGGTTTACAGGTCCCTAATTGCAGCAAACCGGGGTAGCATCAGCTAAGGACGGAAAAGCAGATTTACCTCTTGCCAAGTATCTGCTTGACAGGTCAAAGCTAGTTAACCTAGGGCACATTTTCCAGTTGGGTAGATGTGTGATTGCAAATCAAACTACAACAAGCAGTAGCAAGGCAAACAAGTGACTCAAATGATCCAGGTTTGGGAAAGCTTATAAAAGAAAATGTGTAAACAACATCTATACAGCAGCTAATAGGTTAAACACTGACAGAGCTCAGCGGAATACATTTCTTTTCCCTTCTTGTTCCTGGTGGGCCTGGCACCACCTAATACACAAGTTTAAATAAAGACTGCAAAATAAACTCTCAAAGCTAACCAGAAGAGAACACACCAGCAAGCATGCTTAGCTTACTCGTAGACTGGAGTGTTCCATTAGATGACCAATAGATTAGCAAAGTTTAGCACAAGATGGCAGTGGATTACTTGTCTGCTGTTGGAAAAACTGCACAAAAGAGCTATTTGCCTTTAAAGCAGACAGGTGGAAATTCAGGACAAGCCTCTGGCACATCAGTTCCAGCTTTGCCACTTGCAATATGACATGAAAAACATATACAAAGACTCCACAGTCCATCACATTCACTTCATGTGGTGAACCTACTCCCTGGGTGCTCAGAAAGAAAACACTGAAAAACAACTTGCAGGGCAATAGTTTTCCATCTCCTGTTTTCCAAAGGCAACTAAATTTCCTGCAACTATTTGTCAGCACAAAAAGAAATAAAGTAGCCCAATTTACATTCAACAGAAAACTTTTTCCCAGGAAATGGGATACACAAAATAGCAAAACTCTGTAGCCAACAAAATACTGTACAGTTCTCCCTGCTCCCCCCTGCAGCCTTGTGTTTTTAAGGGACACCAGCTACATCTGCATTCTGCCTTTGAAATTGAAGCAATGTAGTGAGATGACTAGAAATGTTAAGAGCATTCGGCATGCCCTCAGGAGGATGGATTTACGTACAGTTAGGTGAACAATGACGGGTCTGGAAGAAGGAGAAAGCAGCTCTGAACTGCATTTCCAAGTGCAGAAGGATTCAGGCAGGAAAGTGCCAAGCTCAGATTCAGAGTTCAAATGCAGGGAACTTGGCCTTGGTGGGCACCAGCAGGTCAGCAAGAAAGTAAATCGTTCCAGCCATTCCTGAGGATAAAAAATGTGTGCTTCAGAGAGATTCCCTTTGGGCACCCACTTCATCAGTTATCCAGGGGGTGAATGAGTCAGGAAAATAAAAGAAAACATTTTTAGAAGGTCCTAAATAATTTCCAAGGTCTGAACTCAGGTTTCCCCAAGCAACTTTTCAGTGGGCAAAACATTTTGAAGTTAATCAAATGTTGAAAAGCACCTGGGAAAACACAATGGGTCTTTCCCCCTCCAGCTCCCTCCCTTCTGCTTTACCTATCCATGAGTTTAACACTGAGTAGCTTTACCAAACTTTGGTCCTTGTGACACTCCTGCCTGAGGTCCTCACTGATGTAGCTGCTCCTGTCCCTTGGCCTGCAGCAAAGCTGAGGAGATTTATGTCAGCTGAGGAGCTGCTCTTTCAGCAATACCTGCAGATGGCAGATTTTGGGGGAGCTGTTAGCAGGAGCCCCAAAGTGCCATAGGAGCCAAGAAGGCCTATAAAAGCAGCCCTATTTGTCCCTCACCTTTGGAATCAAACTGGAATGCCCATGAAGGATTTTAATACTTAAAAATGCACGCAAAAAAGGACTGTCTGAGAAGTCAAACTACTATAAGGACTTTGGCCTGTACCCATGAAAGAATTCCCCTTGAGACCTGTGAGCAGAATCCATGTGGGAGGCCCAAGAGGATAAAATGTGCCATCTAAGACATTAGCCTGTGCTACAAGATGACTGTTTCTGGGAAAGGGGAAGACAGTGACCGATACACTTTCCACCCTCTACACAGAATTTTCTTCAGTAGAGTGTGTATTTGGCTTTCCTTGGTGCTGGATTGGCTCAGATCCAGCAGCAAAACACAAGGCTAGAGACTGAGGTTACCTTCAAAGAGAGAGAACGGCGTGTCTGGAGTGCGGCACCCATGCTGGCCATAGCTTAAACACCACTCTGCAAACTGAGAAAAGAGGAACAAAAAGTGTTCAAATTTGGCTAAGGACAAATCTTTTAACAAAATACCACTCTCATCTTTGCATCAGCCCTTGCAGAGCAAGGCTTCTGCAGGATATCCCTTCTGTACAGGCTGTCAGAAGTGACTGCACTGCTGAAGGACTGTTTTGCTGCAGCTGGTCAGATCTAGCTGCATGTCTGTCACGGTAGAAATTGGGTTGTGAAGGCAAAGGCAGTGATGGGGAAGGCAGAAGTGAATAATGCCCTCTCCCTTCCTCACGTGGGCTCTTACCTTGCAGGCCCTGTAGAGGTATTTCATGTTCTGAGTGAGGTTGTAGAGTGCCAGGAAGCTGTAAGCATTGCCAGCTGTCCCGTGGCACAGCCCATAGCCTTTCTTCAGTAACCCATACTGCCAGATCACTTCTGCACACTGCAGGGCATCACTTAGGTACTGCTGCTCCCCAAACACCTGTGGAGACAAGAAATAGTGACCCTTGCTGCTCCAAACAAAGAGCAGTCCTGTGTGATGTGGAGGCTGCGGTTAATTAGTTTCTCTCCTGCT